GAACGTCACCCAAAATGAAAGAGATTTTTAGATGATTATCAAAGTAAACAGATTCCTTCCAATGTTTATGTATCGAGAACACAATCTTCAAGAATACTTTGAAGAGAAACTAATGAATTTAACAAAATGTATTACAAAATCTAACCAAATATTGTATTAAATTCAAAATCATTGTATATGTGCGTCGCGGACGTCGTTGACCCTCTAATGACCAAGCCCGCCTCTAAGCGGTCTTCACAAAAGTCGCACTGGCGGCAAATGTAACAAAAAACAAAACAAAAAAACTTTTGTGTTTTTTATTGGTGATGTTGTGCGAAAGCTGGGCTCAAACCCAGGCCACGCGGAATGGTATTTTGTTTAAGCACAACCAGCAACTAATTCTTGAGACGAACTTTTATTCAATAAATTGTTAAATTGTTTCACTTCTACCAGAACCTAAACACCTAAAACCTATCTAAAAACAAAACTGACTTCAAGCCTTATACCAAAATTTAAGAGTACCGTTAATTTCCTCATGATCCAATGACCGTGTCTAAACCAAATTAGTATGGGACCACCTCCGAGGAACCAACTTTCCTTTAAAGAATTATACAAATCGTTAAACGTGGTCCAAAGTTATGCGGTAACATACATACAAAAAAAAATATATTCCCACGAAGTGATAACCTTCTCCTTTTTTGAAGTCGGTTATAAAGGCTAGAAAAGTCTTAGAAGCTTTACCTGAAATTTCAAAGCCAGGAAATAAAATGAAAGTCTACATAGATCTAACCACACAAAGGCTATACTGGCAACACTGGTACCATATAATCGGTAACCATTCTTATCGTGAAATTGTATTGCTATGCTCGATCGTTCTTTCCTTCCATTATTTCTTTTCATTTAGGATTTAGAAGCATGCGTAGAACAAGTTCCCAGTACTCGTTTGTTCCAGACACTTGTAATCCTCCGAACTCGTTTTAGTTTTACATGGATATACTGCGTCAGTAAGGCTGTCCATTAGACTAGGGAACCATAACAAAAGATTGCACGTACCACTGCTTTATAGAGTTAGAGTACCGAACTAGTATTTAGATCCCTGTCTTCCCGAAAAGCCGCCTTCAAAAGCAGAATACAACGTTTCAATTCTTTACTCTATCTTCTGTACTTATTTTCTAACACAGCTTAGCACCCTGACGCTCGTTCCGCTATTCATAGAATTTGGTTATTCAACTTTGGTAATTCAAAGTTATGGACTGGTCGTAAAGGGCATCGGTTCTGTTTTTTTCTCGATTCACGATAGGCCTATTTATCATAGAACTCCTCATATGATATTACTCACCACAGTTGAAAATAATTCATTTGCGTAGGCCACTCTCTTCCATTTTAGCTGGCGTATGTAGTAGCGAGTTTATAGTAGTAAAAAAAGTATATAGGGTATCCTAGACCACACGTCCACCCCCTCTAAAATGGAAGGAAATGGTTTTTATTGAAAAACTCAAAAATATAACCTGCCAAGTCGGGGAGGCTCTAAGTCAGATGGCTGATTTGAAGTAGGGCTTAATGGTCGTGAGTTGAGACACGACTCAATTCGACATAAGAGCGTGTTGAACTCTTCAAACGTATATTTTAACCCAGATGCAATCTTTTTAAAGTGATTTTTGAAACTTTTCACACCTGCTTCCCACAGGCCACCCATGTGCGGAGCTGCAGCAGGTATGAAATGCCATGTAACTGCCTGATGTGCATATTTCGACAACGTGCTGCTACGAGCATCAGCTATAAAGTCCTCTAATTCTGCTTTGAGCGCTCGTGACGCTCCAACAAAGTTCGTTCCGTTGTCGGAATAGACATTCTTTGGGCATCCTCGTCTGGCAACGAACCTGGCGAACGCTGCTAGAAATGATGCTATACTTAAGTCATTTGTGGCCTCTAAGTGGATGGCCTTTGTAGCAAAGCACACAAATAGACAGACGTAAGTATTAGTAAAAGCCCGCGAATAGGTTGTTCGTTCCTGCGGAAGAATACCCATGAGCTGATTCTGTGACCGCTTTTTATAGATCGTGCATATCTTGCAGTTATGGATAATGGACCTTATCATCGTTTTGACTCGTGGAATCCAATATTGTGTTCGGATCAGACGCAACATTAGCTGGTTTTCACCATGGAGTGAAACATCATGGACGAACTGGACTATCAGACGTGATAACCGAAAATTGTACGGAAGGATAACAGGATGACGTTCGCTGTATGCCAGATCGAGGGATGCCCCAAGACGCCCACCTATCCTTAACACATCATCATTGTCGATAAATGGATTGAGGGTCAGTATGTCACTATCCGCATCGATTGATTTTCCAGCCTTCAGTTTCGCGATTTCCGGTCCGTAGTGTTGCTTCTGAGAAATAGTTATTAGGCGTATGGTCGTTGCCTTAATTTCATCGCCTGAAATTAAGCAAGACTCCTGCTGAAATGAAGCTTTTGTTTTCGGATTAGACCTTTGAAAGAACCTCAAAATGTATGATACTACTCTCAAAGCTCTTGGTAAGCTAGAAAATCGTTGAAGAATATCACAAATATTGTCAGTTGTTGTAGTTGCATGAACGTGCACCCGTTTCTCTTCCATGTTTGTGTTGTAATCCGTACCTTGGACTGGCCATTCTTCTCTGTCTTCTTGTAGCCAAGAAGGTCCCTGCCACCACAGAGCGTTGTTGAGCAATTCAATCGCTGATGCACCCCTACTTGCTAGATCTGCTGGATTCGTTGATGAATCTACATGTAACCAATTTGAATTTCCTACTTTGTCTATAATTTTTGTTATTCGATGGGCAACAAATGTTGACCATGAACATGGGGGCCAAGCCAGTACAATCGTTGAGTCGGTCCACAGATGCAATTTCAAGTGCCCAAGATCGAGATTGCTCATGACCGCTTCAATGATTTCTGCGAGTAGTACGGCCCCGCAAAGCTCCAAACGAGGTAGAGAAATTGTTTTTACTGGAGCTACTCTGGTTTTTGATAACAGTAAATTTACGAATACCTCGCTTTCTTTTTCTACTCTTAGGTAGACCGCATCAGCATACGCCTTTTCAGATGCATCACAGAATCCGTGGATTTCCACCTTGTCCATGGGCGAAAAACGTACCCACCGTGATATACGTATTTTGTCGATTTCTTTGTAGCTTTGCGTGAAAATTTGCCAACGCTCCAGTGTAGTGGGAGACACTATTTCATCCCAGTTTGTGCCCTCCAACCATATATTTTGCATCAGTATCTTAGCGACAATAATGACTGGTGCTAGCCATGCGATAGCAGACAGTATCGCTCTCTTTGTTAGATTCTCGTGATTTCCGATTAGTTTGACTATGAAATAGAAATTATCGGAATGAGCATTCCATCTTATGCCAAGCGCTTTTGCACTGCTCGTATCCTCAAAGTCTAGATGGTGTGTCCTCCAGCAAGAACATCATCGACGTACATATATTTACGCAAAATATTCGAAGCGATTGGATAAGATTTTTCTGAATCATCAGCTAGTTGCAGCAATGTCCTTATCGCAAGATAAGGAGCACAGTTTATGCCAAACGTCACAGTCTTAAGTTCATAAAGACTGATTGGATCGCTCGGGCAAGCGCGGAAAACTATTCGCTGGTATTTTGTATGGTCGGCATTTACAAGAATTTGACGATACATCTTCTCAATATCGCTATTGAAGATGTATTTGAAAAGTCTCCAGCGCAGTATTAATATAATTAAATCAGACTGAAGCACTGGCCCTCCTGGAAGAAGGATATCATTCAGGCTGGTACCATTAGCTGTTGGAGACGAGGCATTAAAGACTACCCGAACCTTTGTTGTTGTACTTTCTTCTTTTATCACGGCGTGGTGAGGTAGGTAATAGTTGTCGACTGCGTCCGCTGATTGTACTTCATTTATTTTCGACATGTGGCCCATTGCTTCGTACTCCATCACGACCCGATTGTACTCTCTCTGTAGGTCTGGTTTTTTAGCAAGACGTGTTTCGTTTGTATAAAATTGTGAACACGCTTTTCTTAACGATGGCCCTAATGTGACGTTGGTTGGGAACTCTGATTTAAATGGAAGTGACACGATATACTTCCCATTTTCGTTCCGCAAAGTTGTGCGCATAAAGAGATCTTCGCACTGCTTTTCCCCTTCTGTTGTAATTTTGCCTCTTGGGATGTCTTCCAGTTCCCAGAAGCTAGTTAGCTGCTTATCCAGGGAAACTTCATTGAAAAATTAAACCCGATGGTTATTTGGGTTGACTGCATCAGCGTGACCAGTCAGTATCCACCCAAACACTGATTCCTGGGCGAGAAGTGTATTAAGAACATTCTTTTTAATACCGTTTAAGATTATTTGCGGATAGATGTCTCCCCCAAGAATGAGATCAACTTGCTCGTTAATAAAGAATCTCTTGTCCGCAAGAACGAGATCTGGAAAAGCTTGTTGAGTAAGTGCGCTAATATGACATGTCGGCAAGTTTCCAGTAAGTTGAGGTAAACCCAAAACCATAGCTTCTATTGAAATTAGAGGGTCAATAGGTGACCGCAACTGAATTGAGCACGCTTTATTCACCTGCGTAGAAACCGTATTATTGATGCCCGAAACTTGGGCATGCATCTCCTTGGTTGGCAGGTTGATTTTTCGTCTGAGTCTCTCCGTGATGAAGGAACACTCAGAGCCAGAATCAATTAGTGCTCTAGCAGAAAAGTTTGTGCCATTAAAATGTATATTAACGCGAGCTGTACCCAGTAGAATAGCTGATTAAGTATTCGCATGATGTGACTTCACATTACTAACGGCTTTCTTGTTTTTTGTAGATTCTCGTCTAATTTGGGCCTGTCTGGAAGTGGACTGTATATTGTCCGAAGGATCCCTAGTATCTGATCTGTTTGTTGCTTTTGGCTGTTCTGTGTGGGTATGTAGGAGCGTATGGTGTCGTGAATGGCAAGTGCTGCAGTTGAATGGGCTAGTGCATTTCGACACCGTATGACGTCATCAGATATCGTCACCAACTTTCATTGTGTTAAGAATTTTACAAAATTTCGGAGATTTCAATATAAAAATCATATTTGATACTCGAAGAAAAGTGTAAAATTTCGAAAAGAAGAAACTTTCAATATAATTTCACTGTGCTTTAAGTTGCCTTTGAATTGTATGTTCAACAAAAGAAAAAATAATCGACTTTCCAAGTCAGTCAAATTGTGCAAATAAAGTAATCTGAAGGAAGGAAAACGAAAAGGTTGAGAACGACGAATTAAAAAGTATTGGTTGTGTACTGTTTTCGTTTCGTGACTTTAAGCATATAATACATCATATTAAAGACGGCACAACTATTACTAAGCTATTATTAACAAAAAATGGCATGTGCAACACCCAAACGTACTTTAGACTGGGAAGCGTTAAATCAACGGCCTTCGAAACGCAGACGTTGCAATCCGCTCGGGCATTCATCAGGAAATGGATCATCACCATTGCGCTCATCTGCAGCTGCCATCACTTGCTACGAAAATATTCATAGTCCCAGCGGTAGCCGCATTTCTAAGGAACCACAGCCCAATCCATTCACAGAGGCCAATCTGTCAAAAATTTCTCCAGATAAAATGGCTCAGGATATCCGAGATGAAATCAAACGACTGCACCGCTGTAAACGTCTTCAATTTTCATCGTCCACCATAGACGGTATGCAACAGGACTCAGAATCTAGTGGTTCCGAAATGGGCGCCGAAAGTCCACGTCGTCCAGACACCCCACCGAGCTTGGTGCGTAACCCGGAGAAGGCGCTTGTTACATTTAAACAGGTGCAATTGATATGCGAACGTATGCTGAATAGCCATGGGTAATAGCGCAATGTTTTTGGCGCTAGCTTAATAACGCCAGCGCCACCTGTGGTGTCAGCGCACTAACTCAACGCAATAGTGCAGTGTACTGAATTGAACACGGTGCCATCTGAGTGTCAC